TTGATTACATATAAGAAACATCACATTTCAACAGAGCAATACTGAGCAGCCTGGTCATCTTAGCAGTGAAACACTGGGCCACTCAGGTGTGACCATCATGGCAACACAGCATTTCATTATAGGACTGGCTACTTCATATAAAGCTATATGTAAAACATAAAATTTATTTCTTTGAAAATGAAACATCCAAGTGAAATGGTGAGCTAACAGTATATACCAAAATTTTAGCTGGCTGTTAGTAGAAAATTTCAATTTTATATATTAAAAAAAAAAAAAAAAATACTTGGGAAAAAATAAATTTCAAACAAAAACATAAAATGGAAATAAAAGTGAAACAAATCAACATCAACGATGAGGTGTGAATGTGTGCCTATGACCACTGCCACAGTAGAGTTGTACCCAGGCTTCTCCAACCACCTGTCACTTACATAAACTGCAGAAACTGGTTAGAAGTGATAGAAAGATGCCAAACATAGTTTTAAAAAGTTAGCACTACCAGTTGTAAAAAGTTTTCTGACCAAAAACAAAACACATACACACAAGAAAACATACTCAGTAGCTATACACAAACAGGAAAGAAGATATGTTTTAAATGTATTTGATGGTGTAGTTCCTATGGTAACATTTTCCATATCTAATCAACTGCTTAGAAGGTAAGCATAAAGCTCTTCCCTTTAAAATGTGCTTCCCTTTATGTGCCTTCTCTCCAAAAACCATGAAAGAAACTCCTGGCAGAGAAACCAACCGACGTGACCAGATCCTCACGACCAGAAAAGGGAATGCTTCCTAAATTCCAGAAGTCACTGCAGGCACTCAGTTTAAACTTTCATATTTTCATTTTACCATCTCAAAGGCAGTTCTGCATAAGAGGATCTAAACAATGTACATCTCAAACTCTTCTTCAGAACACAGTAACTATTACTTATTTTAATCTGAAATAATCAGTTTCCTGGTGATTATAAAAACCTGCACAGTCAATAAGAGGATAAAAACATTTAAAAAGTATTTCACATTCCAGATCTTAAACCAGAACTCCTCTAAGATTTCAAAACATGGCCCATGTTTTACATTCTATTTCTCAAAGTCTAATCACAGCTTATCATTTGAAAAGTTCCACCGTACTTATCCCAAATGGTTCCAGATTTTTTAGCTATTAGTTTGGAAAAATGAGAAATGAAAATAAGAAAGTCTCATTAGACAATCCTCTGAATGTGTGAATACAGATGCTAATGTTCATGGTGAAGGACTTAACATATAGGTCTTCATGGGTGACCCACCAATCCCCTGGTATGCTGCATAAAGGCACCTTCAGAGTTCAAAGGGATACTAATCCTGAACAGAGATTGAGTCCAATCAGATAATGACTTCATTAGTAACCTGATAAATTGTTGTCCTTCAATGTGTTGCCATTTAGTTTCATCTTGTATTGTTACAGGAAAAATTCTTCTCTAGTACCAACATCCCAGTATTCTAACAATACTAGATTCCATTTTCTTTAAATTCTCAATTCTTATTTTGATAGTTCATGTTAAGAAAGTAATTTTGGTTATAAAATTCCACACACAATAATAAGTTGTTAAATTTTCAGGAGAATCTAAGCCTGGACAAATAATTTCATAATAGAAACAATTTTGGCCCAACCTGCAACTAACAAAGGATGATTTAATTTGAGGAAATATTCATAGTTTCATCAGTTACTCTAAATTAGGAAACTTTAAATTAAAATAGTGATCATTACTTAGATTTTAGTAAGGTGGACAGAAACATAGGTAGCCTGAAAGATTACCCTTCCCTAAAAGCAAGCTCACAGAGGGAGAGGAAGAGAGGAAAAGGAAGGTTCACTGCAGTACTGGTGGACTCAATCCCTTTATGAAAGCACATGTTCTCATATGGTGTTACCATATCCTGATTCATGTGGAAGATCTGAAAACCCAATGAAAAACACCAACTAAAAATGTTTAAAGAAAAGAAAAATATGAGATCAAATTAAATGATAAAATGAGTTTAAAAAGAGAACAAGAAATAAAAAACATTGAACGACCTTTATGTAAATATTAAAATTAAAAAGAATCCATCCTGTACTTTGTGCTCACAAAGGGGAAGGAGGTTCCATCAAGCCCTGCAGAGTACAAGAGGAAGCAGGTGGTTTGCTCAGGCATCAGCAGAGAGAGGCCCCGAAGAACTACCCTCAGCTTCTTCTATATCGTGTCCAGGGAGGAAAAGCAAAGCTCTGCAAAATGCTGAAGGTTTTAGAAGTGTAACGGTGCTTAGGAAAGATCACTGGCCTGGTGTTGCCGCAGCCCCAGTGTTGAGAGACACTCTAGGCTTCTAGGAGGAGAAAAATAGAAAGGGAGGAAGAAGTAGGAAGGGGAAGGAAGGGGCAGAAAAGCAGAGGTCATTCATTAGTAAACAGCAAGTTCAACACAGCAAGATGCTCATAAACCATTTATATGCTATCAGTGGGGCTGAGCTGCTCTTAGGACTAGAGATAACATTGTGAAGGAAACAGAAATGGGAATTTTCAAAATGGCACCAGTTAGTGATGGCCAAATTAGAATGATGTCACCACATGCTCCAAAAACATGCACTCTTCGTTCCCTTCCCACTCCTTCCCACCCCCAATGAAACATGCATATTTTCAGAAAAGCAACTGCTTTAATACAGTCAAATGTCAAATTCAGAATGCAAACATATTCCCAATGTATTCTACCCAAGGGTGGAGAAATAAAGTGTCCAAGAGCAGAAATACCTGCTCTCATGATCAGCAGGGTTCTTTTTTGCAATCAGGGAACTAAAAGTCTTAGAACAGTAAGAGCTATACTGTATGTTTTCCCTGTTCTTTTCTCCTGCCCTATTATGAATGGCAGTGGGAAGCAATTGCTACATAAAGTCCTAGTCTCTTCTGGTCATACTTGACTTGACATACTGCTGAAGAAACATACTCTAGTTTTGATAATTTATTTATTTCCCAGATGAAAGTGGCATCCACTCTCTCACAAGCTAATCAAATCAATTCCCTCTAACTATCTCCCTTTTTTTTTTCATTTATTCATTTTTTCTTTTCTTTTTTTTTATTTTATTTTTTTTTTTTTTTATTTTTTATCCTCACCCGAGGATATTTTTCCATTTTTTGTACAGATAGAGTGGGAGGGAGAGAGAGGAAGAGAGAGAGAGAGAGAGAAACATCGACGTGAAGGGACACATCGAGTGGCTGCCACCCACACGACCAACCAGGGCCGGGGACAAACTGCAACCGAAGTACGTGCCCTTAGTGGGAACCGAACCCGGGTCTCTCTGGACCGCAGGCCGACGCTCTAACCACTGAGCCAAACCGGCCAGGGCCATTTATTCATTTTTAAAAGTTCATGTTCAAGCTACTTCTCCTTTAATCACAGAGATATTTCCACAAATGTTTTCTTAAAACCAAATTATATAGACAGCTTTGCTTTCAAAGCAGTCCCAGAAACAGTGAAAACCACATATTATAACTACAAATATCAAAGAAATACAAAAATTTCCTTTCACAAAACTGGAAAATACAGCGACACCTCTGGCTGCTTCTTGCTATTAAAGAGTTCCTAATTCATGAGTTGCTAATAAGGATGTTAATGTCGCTGGGTAAAACTGGCAGTCTAGTCATCAATATGAATAGAACCTAGTCATCAATATATCTGAGGTACAAAGATATATATACAACATTTCTGAAGGACATAGAATAAAGACTAAAGCCTGGAATAATCACTATTGCTAACAAAGGCTTTTTGGAAGCCTTAGCAACTGAGAGATCCTATAGTGACTAAAGGGAAGGCTTCTCAAGGCTGAGGTATGCATCCAAGACAAGAAACACAGACATGGTCCATGCTAGTGTTTGCCTCTTAGGGTAATGGAAACCAAATGCTATGCCCCAGTTAAGAAGTGCACACACTGTGGCAGAGAACAATGTGCTTGATCATTAGAAGACTATTTATTTGGGTCAACGGTGTCAGCCTGATCATAACTGCAAATTAAATAGTTATATATAAAAATCCAACATGAGTTCCTATCAACTACCTAAGACAAGATTTACATAGTACATCCCTATGGCACCTGCTACTGCTTTGAGAGTTTTGCCCACTACAAATACACTTGGGGCAGGAGTTCGTGCTAATTTTGAGGAGGGAACCACAGGAACTCAGTGCTAGCTGGTAAAATATCAAAGCCCTAGCAACAAGCTAGGAATTAAAGTCAGAGACAGATTTCAAAAGTAACAGTTAAGGGGCCCTGGCCAGTTTGGCTCAGCGGTTAGAGCGTCGGCCTGCGGTCCTGAGAGACCCGGGTTCGGTTCCCGCTAAGGGCACGTACTTCGGTTGCAGTTTGTCCCCGGCCCTGGTTGGTCGTGCGGGTGGCAGCCACTCGATGTGTCCCTTCACGTCGATGTTTCTCTCTCTCTCTCCCTTCCTCTCTCTCCCTCCCACTCTATCTGTACAAAAAATGGAAAAAAAAAATATCCTCGGGTGAGGATAAAAACAAAAAAAAGTAACAGTTAAGGGGAAAATAAAGAAAAACAGGATGAGGGCAAAAGAGAAAAGAAAAGAACTTTTAATCTATAGCTCACAGGTTTCCTAACACTGAGCCATGAAAAGCAAACTGAGTGCAGTGTTCATTCAGGGAAGAGACCTGCCTAAAGAGTTGAAATGACCAAAGGCCTCTAATATAAAATATCTTGATGATGGTTATTCTGCCTGTATAAGCATATTTCTGAGATGTATCCAACTCTTATTTGGTACAATTACAACAAATATTCAAAGAATATCAAAGGAAATTCATTCTTCTCTTTCCACTGTTGGAGATCTTATGTGGTAGATGCCCTGGGTTTCAAGATATCCAACAAGCACAGCAATACCCTTAGAAACATAAATAGTCTATATACTTCCATTAACAATCCTCCTCAAAGGAGCTTATCCAGGTGTTTACTATAACTGTTTCACCCACACATTTAGGGAATCCTGGGGATCACTTACCTGTAGTGTCATTCCCTTCTATTCCATGGTCACCATTGGCTAGCACTGCTGGTTTAGGAGATGGAGTACCTGCAACCACCACAAAGAGAATCACCCATTGTGATGAACAAAACCATGAAAAACAGATCCAACTACTGTCTAATTAGTAGAATTTGTGTCACAGCACTAGCTTAAAGCAGATAAAAATCAGTCCAAAATGTAAAGATCCAATAAAAGGAAACCCAGAAACAGAACAAAACTGAGTCATTCATTTCCACAGCCCCCAAACTCTGTTAAGCACTCCCCAGTATAGGAGAGCCCTTACTAACAACAAGCTGAAGTCTTTTCTCTCCTGTAAATTGTCAAAGATAAGCATCCTATTCAATAAAACCTTCATGAAGCACCACTCATTTACTATCTGTGACTCAAACCAACTGCTCCAAGGACAAAGGGCCATTTAAAACAACCCCCACATAAAGGGCACTATCACTGCTCCTGGATCTGAGGATTCCATGGAGATCAACAGCATTTCTGGAAGCAGAGGGCTTGCTTTTGTGTTTTTGTGTGTGTGTGTTTCTGTTTTTTAACTTTAGCTATTCTTATAAAGTGTAGTTGTGTCTCATTCCCTAATAAAGATGTTGGGTGTCTTTTCATGGGTTTATTTGCCATCCTTTTATTTTCTTTGGTGACCTGGTCAGATCTTTTTTTAAAATATTTTTTTCTTTATTGATTTTAGAGAGAGAGGAAGGGAGAGGAGGAGAGAGAAAGAAACACGGATGAGAGAGAACATTGATTGGCCGCCTCCTGCATGGCCCCGATTGGGGATTGGGCCCACAACCTGGGCATGTGCCCTGACCAGGAATTGAACTGGCGACCTCTTGGTGCACGGGTCGAAGTTCAACCAGGGAGCCACACCGGCCGGGCTTTTACTATGTTTTAATTAGGTTGTTTCTTATTGAGTTGAGGATTCTGTATAAAAAAAATAATTAATTAAAAATGAGCAGTTTTAGACACTTAAAAAAGTATACCCATCACCTACCCTCAGAACTAAAACATTACTAACATAGTTGAATCTCTCTGTATTACATTCTTCTGTCTTCTACTCACTCCTCCCAAGCAATAATGGGGGTAGTAATTTCTTTTCTTTATACTTTTACTGTATATGTATTATATCCATAAGCATGCTTTGAAATTTCTTAAACCTTTTTTCATATGGTATCATACACTGTATTCTTCAATTTGCTTCAATTTTTGCTAAATGTGTTTGGAGACTTAAGTATCCATGATGATTGATCATTCGTTTAGGGTTATAGATCATTCGTTTACAAATATTCTGAATACCAACCCTTCATCAGATGAGTTTTGCAAATATTTTCTACCAGTCTATAACTTGTATTTTCATTTTCTTAACTGTCTTTTGAAGAGCAAAAGTTTTACATTTTAATGAAGTCTAAGTTATCTTTCATGCTTTTGCTGAGTTATTTAAGAAATATGTGCTGCCCTGGCCGGTTTAGCTCAGCAGTTGGAGCATCGGCCCGCAGACCAAAGAGTGCGGGTTCGATTCTGGTCAAGGACACATACCTGGGTTGCGCCTTAGTCCCCAGCCCTGGTCGGGGTCCTGTGGGAGGTAACCAGTCGATGTGTCTCTCTCACATAAATGTGTGTGTTTCTCTCTCCTCCCCTCCCACTCTATCTGAAGATAAATGGGAAAATATTCTCAGGTGGGAATTAAAAAAAAAGAAAGAAAGAAATATTTGCCTAACCCAAGGTCACAGGATTTTCTCCTATGTTTTTGTCTAGAAGTTTTACGGTTTTCAAATTGAGGCCTAAGATACATTTGGAGTTAAATTTTGTATATGTTGTGAAGTATGGGTCTAGGTTCCTGTTTTTGCATACAAACATCTAACTGTTCCTATAACATTTGTTACAAAAGCTATCCTTATTCCACTGAATTGACTTTGCACCTCTGATGAAAACCAAATGACTTTATTACATGCTGATATATTTCTGGACTCTCCTGTTCCACTGACCACTAACAAAAAGTCTATCTATTTTGCCAGTATTACACACTCTCGATTACAGTATTTGTATAAAGTCTTGAAATGAGGTCATGTGAATCCTCCTAATTGGGTCTTTTGCAAAATTATTTTGGTTATTCTAATTACTTTGCTTTTCCATATAAATTTTAGAATCAGTTGTTGATTTATGCAATAATCCTGGTGGAATCTTTGTGGTTTTTTTGGTACGTGCGCTTAGCAGGAACCTGGGACTCTCTGGTCCACAGTCTGATGCTCCAACCACTGAGCTAAACCGGCCAGGGCCTGATGGACTCTTGATTGCATTTGCATTCACTATATAGATCCATTTGAGGATGTACAACCTTTTCTGAAAGGCTCTGAATTTAACATTTTAGCAACCTGCGTAGCTCTGGATCAGCTGTCAACCCAAGAGTTCCTAAAGAATCACTCTCAAGAACCTCACAGAGGTATTTTTCATAAGACAAATGAAAATCTAGAATGTATGCCACAAAATTATAAAATGCAAGATTTTTCCCTGGCTGGTTTGGCTCAGCGGTTAGAGCATCAGCCTGCGGTCCAGCAAGACCTGGGTTCACTTCCCACTAAGGGCGCATACCTCAGTTGCAGTTTGTCCCTGGCCCTGGTTGATGGTGCGGGTGGCAGCCACTCGATGTATCCCTTCCACATCGATGTTTCTCTCTCTCTCTCTCTCTTTCTGTCCCTCTCTCTCCCTCCCACTCTACCTGAACAAAAAAATGGAAAAATGTCCTCGGATGAGGATAAAAAATATAATGCAAGATTTTCACCTTGGCCGGTTTGGCTCAATGGTTGGAGCATCGGCATGCGGACCAAAGAGTCCCGGGTTTGGTTCCCACTAGGGGCATGTACCAAAAAAAATAAAATAAAATGTAGATTTTACTTTGGAAGAAACTACACTGTTCAACTTTCTGGCTCCCACCTATTCAAGGCAGAAATCTTTCACATAAACTCATTGAAAAAAATCATTCATTCCACTATCTCAGATAACAGGGAAACAACCTAAAAGAACAAGGCAGACCAAAAAGAGAATATCAAGTAACAGGAAGACGCAGGAAATGAAGAAATAAAATAGAACAAGCTTAGCCCGGCTGGTGTGGCTCAGTGGTTGAGTGTTGACCCATACACCAAGAGGTGGCTGGTTCAATTCCCAGTCAGGGCACATGCCCAGGTTGTGGGCCAGATCCCCAGAAGGGAGCATGCAGGAGGCGGCCAATCGATATTCTTGCTCATAGATGTTTCCATCTCTCTCTCCTACCCCCCCTTCCTCTCTCTCTAAAATCAATGAAGAAGAAGGAAAAAAAATAGAACAAGCTTATTAAATACCCACTATGTGCACACACCATTCTAGGGCTTCATATATTGTGTTTTATTTATCCAGAGAGATGCCCGTGGGAGGCAATATGCTCTATCCCATATTTAGGCCAAAATAAATAAATTCCCTTTTATCCTCACACAGTAAGCTTATGAAATTTAGTCTTTCTAGCTCAAGAAAAAAAATGCGTATTTTTAAAAATCTGCCTCATTTAAAAATACAGATTGCAAAAAATGAAATAAAATGCAGATTACAGAAAAATGCAAATTATAAAATATCCAGTGTTGGCAAAAGTATAGGAAATCAGGTAATCTCATAAACCATAGAAGGAATATATATTAGAATCTTTTTATGAGACATTTGGCAGTCCATCAAATTTTGAAAAGGCTGTTTAACTCAACAATCCATTTTAGCTATTTATTTCACAAAAAGACATAAACGTACACAAAAATGAATGTAAACAGGATGTTTATTATTGCATTGTTTGAAAAGTAACAAATGGCCATGAATAGATTCATTAAACTGTGAAATATTATGCAACTGATAAAGAACTGAGTGAGGTAGCTCTTCATGTATTGATAATGGGAAGATGGTAGGACATATTAAGAAAAATAGGCCCTGGCCAGTTTGGCTCAGTGTTTAGAGCATCAACCCATGGACCAATGAGTGGTGGGTTCAATTCTGGTCAGGGACACATACCTTGGTTGTGGTTCATCCCCAGCCCTGGTCAGGGTCGTGTGGGAGGCAGCTGGGCAGTGTGTTTCTCTCACATCAATATCTCTCTCTCTCTCCCTCCCCCTCCCACTCTATCTGAAGATAAATAGAAAAATATCCTCGAGTGAAGATTTAAAAAAAAGAAAGAGAAAAATATAACCTTGGCTGGTGTGGCTCAGTTGATTAAGCACTGTCCCATGCACCAAAAGATCATTGGTTCAATACCCTGTCAGGGCACATGCCCTGGTTGTAGGCTCAATCCCAGAAGGGGGTGTGCAGGAGGCAGCCAATTGATGTTTCTCTTTCACATGGATGTTTCTCTCTCACCCTTTCCCTTCCTCTCTCTCTAAAATCAATTTTAAAAAGCAAAAGAAAAGAGTGCTCGCTTTGGCAGCACATATACTAAAACTGGAACGATACAGAGAAGATTAGCATGACCCCTGAGCAAAAATGACATGCAAATCTGTGAAGTGTTCTATTATTTTTTTTAAAAAAAGAAAACAAAAAGGAGAAACATCTGTAACAAAAATTAATTAATTAAAAAAGAAAACATAAAAGCATATTATGCATAATAGCATTATTTAAAAAACACACACAAAACATTCAGAAAAAAATATGAAAGTATATATACTGAATGCCACTGCTGAATGCTAAGAAATGGAGTGTGTGGAACCAGAGACAGGGATAAAAAGAAAGATTTGCACAAACATAGAGTCCTCTTTTAATTAAGAACATTAAAGAATTTAAGAGTGGATAAAGTTAGCCAACTGAAGCACACAGGTCAGCTTCAACATACTATCACAAGTACTTAAAAACAGCAGACAAGACGGCTTAAAAGCATCATGTAATAAAGATCTAGAAATCAAGGAAAATGAAAGCAAATAGGACTACCCTAAAGATGAAACCACACACAGCCCAAAGACACAGGAGAGCAGGACTCCAAGGTACTCTAAGCTTAGAGACAGCAGGGGTGGTGGGCCTGTTATAAGCTGCCAGGCCAGTTTCCACCTCCCCCAAGCTTCCCTTCCCTCACTCCACAAAGTCAGCCTTGTGCCAACCTCCAGATGGGGGCAGAGACTGAATGTTTTGGCACAAGAGGAAGACAACTCACTGGGTGACTGATGACAGCCAGGAGTGGGGAGCCATACCACCTGGCAGCACTGTCACATCCATGCCAGAGGTAGGCAGTAGTTATACATCATAGGGAACCTGAATAAGATAGTATTGCCAAGTAACTGAGGAAAACTACTACCAAAGGAGAAAGGCATCACATTCAAAGAGCACATATATCACCCAGGGAAACAACATTGAAGAAATATGTAATTTTCTATCAGAAGAATAAAAAAATAAATAACAAATCCATGAAACAAGAGCAACCCCTAACCAAAGTGACTTATCTACTAATGAATGAGTAACAAATCCTTTTCCAGGTTAGTTTCCAATTCTTTGCTTTCATCACAATTGAAGGAGGTCATAATGGATAGGACCTTAAAATAATTTTTAATATTAATGAATTATGGAATTCTTAGCATACAATGCAGAGAACTGAGGACACTGCCATATGAAGCTTCCGTTCCCACATACTTAGCTATGTGAATAAGGCTTCTTCGCTATTATGTCTATAAAAACAGAAATAAAAATTGCTAAATCCTGCTTCATTCTAGCAAAAAATAAGTTATCCACAGATTCATAATCTAATTGAGAAAAAGAATAAACTCCATCATCTCATTAAGAAAAACATTTCCAATTAAATTTAATCTCTTGGTTAGTAATAACTTATCAAAAAATTATAGTATAGGTAATCAACCGTGTACTACTTGTAACTGTGATGGTCAATTTCTTTGAAGCAAGTTAATACTTAAGAGCCTGATCATTTCAGAAACTTTTTTTTTTATTTTTTGTGGTACGTGCTCCTAGCGGAAACCAAACCCGGGACTCTCTGGTTGGCAGGCCGACACTCAACCACTGAGCCAAACTGGCCAGGGCAATTTCAGAAACTTTTAAAATTAAAATTTAAGTTTACATATTTAGTTACAGAAACATGATTATTTAAAAAACTTTCAAGCATAAAAATATATTGCATTAGGATAAGTCTGAAAGAGGCATAGAATGGAAATAAGAATTCAAGGAATCAAAAGGATTTATACTTCCAATGATAAAGCACAGCTTGCTTATGTATTTTGAAACAAATGATGAGCCCTGGCCAGTCTGGCTCAGTGGTTACAGCATCGATTCCAGTCAAGGGCACGTACCTTGGTTGCAGTTTGTCCCCAGCCCTGGTTGGGTTGTTTGGGAGTCGATGTCTCTCTCACATCGATGTTTTTCTCTCTTCCTCTCTCTTCCTCCCTCCCACTCTGATGATAAATAGAAAAATATCCTCAGGTGAGGATTAAAAAATAAAATAAATGATGATCGAAATAAAAATGTGATATATTTGGATAAATTTAAAAGAGTGATGTAACTATTATTTTTATGTGGCAAAAGTAAAATGCTGTGAAAGATTACATGCTTTACAATTATTTAAACCTTTGCTAAAAAGATTTAGATGTCAACATAATGTACAAATGGCACATGCCCAGCCAGTGTGGCTCAGTGGTTGAGCATCAACCCATGCACCAAGAAGTCGCTAGTTCGATTCCCAGTCAAGGCACATGCCTTGGTTGTGGGCCCGATTCTCAGTGGGAGGCATGCAGAAGGCAGCCTATCAATGTTCTCGCTCATCGATGTTTCCATCTCTCTCTCACTCTCCCTTTCTCTCTCTCTAAAATGATCAATAAAGAAAAAATATTTTAAAAGGGTACAAAATTTTTCAGAATTCTCATATGGGTGATTAAGTTTCAAGACTGCTACTTCAGATCAATGGAGAAGTTACAAAGAATGAATTATATGTACTGACAGAGAAATTTCCAAGATGTAAAGTAAAAAAGAGCAAGTTATAAAAAAATAACGTATGGTTTGATCCCATTTGTAAAGAACTAAGGCCGATAATTTTCTGACTGTATGTATATAAATACAAAGAACATAAAAGATCTACTTCCTCTTGAGAAATAAATAGGATTCAGTGGGAGTCAAGGGAGATTTTCACTTATCTGAATTTTATTTTAAACAAAATTTTTATTTTAGAATATCGTTAAATTTATGGAAAAATTGCTATGCTGGTATAGATATTCCCATAGACTCATACCCAGTCTTCTCTATTAAGAAAAAAGTGGCTAAGCCTGGCCAGTGTGGCTCAGTGGTTGAGAACAGACCCATTCACCAAGAAAAAAGTGGCTGGGTTATGTTTCCAAAACAAAAGTAGATTGACACATGCTATAAATTAATCATTCCCAACCACTACCTGACCCAAACATTTCTTGTGAACTCATTCTTCCACACTCTACAAAACCATCGGGTGCTCCTCAAACTTCCAGCCCCTTCCACCCACTTCTCAGCATATGACTTCACCTATTTCAAAGAAAAGATGACCCTGTCAGAAGAGACTTCCTTCTTTCCTTTCTGCTCCCACACACACAGACTTAAAGCATCTGCACTAAGACTCATCTTTTACCCAGTGCTTTGGGTCCTCCCTTCCAAAGACAAGATTCTGTTCTCCCTCTAGTTTTGAAATCAGATCTTATCTTACTCCTCTCAAGTCTCACAATTCTTTATTTGATCCTTGCTTTTGGCACTTGATTATCTTTCCTAATGAACTGTAAACTCCTTAAGGTCTCTGAGTCTTGGGTTCCTTTTTTTCCTCTGTAGTGATACAGTGTTCTCAATAAACATTTGCTTAAAGAATGAATGAGCCCTGGCTGGTTTGGCTCAGCGGTTAGAGCGTCGGCCTGCGGTCCGGAGAGATCCGGGTTCGGTTCCCGCTAAGGGCATGTACCTCGGTTGCAGTTTGTCCCCGGCCCTGGTTGGGTCGTGCGGGTGGCAGCCACTCGATGTGTCGCTTTCACGTCGATGTTTCTCTCTCTCTCTCTCTTCCTCCCACTCTATCTGAACAAAATATCGAAAAAAATGTCCTCGGGTGAGGATTAAAAAAAAAAAGAATGAATGAGCCCTGGCAGCAGTTAGAGCGATGGCCCATGGACCAGAGAGTCCCAGGTTCGGTTCCCGCTAAGGGCGTGTACCTCAGTTGCGGCTCCTCCCCTGCCCCAGTTGGGGTCATGTGGGTGGCAACCAGTCAATGTGTCTCTTTCACATTGATGTTTTTCTCTCTCTCTTTTCTTCCTTTTCTCTCTCCTGCTCTATCCGAAGATAAATGCAAAAAAAAAAGTCCTCAGGTGTGGATTAAAAAAAAAAAATGAATGAATGACTCGTTGGAATAAAATGTGATTGCCAGTGTGTATATGGAGTGGCAGAGTAGGACATAAGGAGGGAGAGTGCAAGGCAAGGAATGCCTAAGTTAGCCTAAAATTTCTAAAAAAGAAACAAAGTATCAGAGCTTAAACTTTTAAAATACTTTTTCAATTTTCTTCACAGTTCAATTTGTTTTTAATAATCAGGTAAACAAAGCTATTAACAAGATACCAAATCAGATCTCAAACAAGATCAACATCAAGAGACCAGGAATTGTATACTATTTTTTTGTCTTCAGTACTAGAGAGAGATTCAACCTGCTGTGGTTTTCCTGAGCCATGCTAACATAAAGATGTCTGCACCATTTCCAGAGTCAGAAATTTGACTGTAAGAAACAAATGGTTGCCCTGGCCGGTTTGGCTCAGCAATTAGAGCGTCAGCCTGCAGTCCAGAAAGTCCCGGGTTCGGTTCCCGCTAGGGGCACGTATCTCGGTTGCAGTTTGTCCCGGCTCTGGTTGGTCGTGCGGGTGGCAGCCACTCGATGTGTCCCTTTCACGTCGATGTTTCTCTCTCTCTCTCTCTCTCTCTCTCCCTCTCTCTCCCTCCCACTCTGTCTGAACAAAAAATGGAAAAATGTCCTCGGGTGAGGATTTAAAAAAAAAGAAGAAAAAAATGGTCTCCCAACCCAGTTGGAATCTTTGTCTAAGTAAAACAGAAGTTTTTATGTGAGGGAAAAGGGTTATAAGGAGACAAAGAAGATAGCTAGGTTAGGACAATAGTAGTTTTCTTTGGTAGCTTTACCCTGTGCAACTTAGAATCTCTCAGCTATAGAAAGAATCTGACCAATTAACCTCTTTTTAAGAAAGAGAAACATGAATGTGAGAGAGAAATAATAACAACTATTATTATCCTCACTGTTATTAACTACAGATTGGTTAATCTACAGACCAACTACAGATTAACTACAGAATCGATCACTAAATTATAAAGTAACATTGTGAAAACACTGAAATTTACTTTTGCCTTATATAAAAATCTAGCTTAAATGACATTACTAGACTCAACCATAATTGTGAGACTAAGATACAAGCAACTTACCAGAATAAAATGAAAAAAGAGGAAAACAGAGTTTAAAAGAAAATAGAAAATATAAAAGAGACTGAGATTCTACCATATACACATTTAACAATCGAAAACTCTA